ATTTCAGTAGTAAGAGGATGCTGCTTATCTTTTCTTAACAGGAAGTTAATTCTGCTCTTACTGCTTGTAGAATGAAACAGTAACAGTAGGTCAGTCACTGTCACCCTTACTGTGGAATCTTGACTTAGCTTCAGCGAGGGAGTTGTTGGTTGGGCAATAACCTCTTCTAAGTCCTTGGACATCTGTGGTTGGAAAAAATAAAAGAGGCTGCCATCCTAGAAGATGGGGTCCATTACTGGAGCCATCTGTGAAGACTAGATGAGGAAAACAAGGGATGCTGTGTTCTTGAAAAAATAAGTGACCTACCAATGCTCTGCTAGTTATCAGTTTGGACTTCAGAAGAGTCTAAGAGTCTGTGTGGATTATGTTGCTGTCATAAAAGATGTACTTATGATGGAGTTAAGACCAACTGGACATACTGTATGGTTTATTCTCCAACATTATTGAACAGCTGTGTAGCATGTACCACCATATGTCGTATGTACCCACTAATAGAAAAGGGTGGCTTGTTTTAGTAGGCTTTGGCTTGAGGTCAGTTCAAATGTACAATGAGGATAAAAGCTCTTATTTTGCTGAGATCCCTTTTTTTTTTCTTCCTTCTCTAGTCTGTGATAACATGGAGAGGTACAAGTCAGCCAGTCCTTTCCTCTGCATGGATCTCACTTACATCACTGCTTTGTTAAAGGAAGGTTTTGGATTTAGGGACAACACGCTCTTACAGGTGAGAAAAACAGTTAAATCCCTAAGCCACCTTCCCAATTTCTGTATCGATCCAACATGTGTGAGTTTGTTTTTCTGGCTAATTATCTACTGAATCTTTCCAGGGTTGTAACATGTAGTTGCTGTCATTTTTGCAACATAGGAATCTACAGAACTGTCAGGAACAACTTCTTTTTCTTTCTCTATAGTTAACAAAGAAAGTGAACAACATAGAGACAAGCTGGACTTTGGGTGCTACCTTTTACCTGCTGCAGTCTCTGGGGATGACCTATTGACCTGTGATAGTCCTGTGGACTTCAGCATTTCTGAAAGGCTGAGAAAGCAAATTCAAATCTCCAGGTATGTTGTTCAGCTGGAACTGGTCAAAGAGCAGAACATGGACCAAAGATATAAGACAGATCTTTACCCTGGATTGGCATTGTGCCTAATGAGAGTTGACACAGCATGATTTATAATTATGATTGCAATAAATGATCCAGAATCTGCCTTCTGAAAGTCAAAAGTCCTAAACGCCAACAGAGAATACATGCGGGGCTCAAAACCAGCATTCACCAGCATGTTTGTTAGAAGCACAGAGTACCTGGATGTGGGGGCAGATTACGGACGTGCGACTTCCCTTACCCCCTTCTTTTTTAAAAATACATAACTTAAGTTTGCTTTTGAGATGTTAAATACAGAAATTAAAAATACCATCAACAGTCATTCAAAGAGAAGTGAACAGCTCTGGATGCTGCCAACCCCAGTGTTCCACTATTAGCTTAGCTAATACATGGCAAGAAGGCTCCAGTCTTTTAAGAAGGGCCTGCTATAAGCACACTTTGGGCATGGTTTTGGGAAAGGTGTTAGCTAAAACATAGTAACTTACCAAGCATTTGTTTAAGCAGAACGTGTGCCTGACCGTGCTCCTTTTTTGCTGCCCTTTACAAGTCTGTGCAGTTATACCGTACATCTGACTACCAGACTTGGTAAACTGATGTAATCATAACACATAGTTGAGCTGGCACAACGAGGCAGCAGTGCCAGCTATTTAAACTCCACTGCCAGAAGAAATGCTTGTCACATTACACCCACAAGAAATTGGAGCCAGATGAAATGGCTGATCTGACAGCTCACTTTGCTGTGAGAAGCAGTTCTGTTTCTCTGCTCTCAGCAAGACACTCCCACAGCCTTCTTTCCTCTGCTGTTGGTGCTCTTCAGGTTCTTTGGTGAACTAATTCATGACACCAAACTTGAGGTAACTCAGCTCACCCAAGAGTCAAGTCCAGTGCTAGCACAAGGGAAGTGGGCATTGCACAGCGCAGGGACACCTGCTGGGCCAGCGAGCTGTCAGAACACCACAGTCCATTTTGTCAGCTAAGGCGTGGTTTCCCATCTGAAACTTTGGGCGTCTGGCTCCCTACATTGTCCTTAGGCACCTCTTCTGAATACAAGTGATACAAGTTCTTTATACAGTTTTTGAATTATGAAAATAAAGAGAGCAAAATTAGCATCAGAAACAGGGAGAACAAGAACAGAAGTAACTTTGCTTTCTTATCCTTTATTTATCCCTTATCCATTTCAAATTGTTTTAAACTTCATTTCCCTTTAATTTAAGATAGTGGAGTTGAACCCATAAAGTGGTGTATGCTCTGGATTTTTAATATATACAGCAGGTCCATCAGAACAGTGCATCCAGTGAAGGGGTTACAGCTGTTTAGGAAGCTCAAGACTTCTGTCAGGATAGCATGAAGCTATTTGAGTAATAATTTAAAGTGAACCTTGCCATCTCTTTCACACCAAACACATAGATGCAATGATAGGTTAATATTTTAAATCATCTTGTCAGAAAGGCTAGAGAGTGGGGCTGTAGGAGCCTAGTTTTCTTGTTTAATTGGCTGTAAAGATGATCAAGATTGCTCCAGTACCTCAAGGCTTTACCTTGCATTGCCCCAAGTAGAAGCCGCTGTAGACTTCTTCCACCCTGTGAAATAATTCGCAGCTTGCTCATCAAAAATTAGTATCTTCTCCTCCCCATGGAATGTGTAATGCACAGATGAATTTACCCCAGCATAAGAAAGAGGTACTACTCACATGACTAAGGGAACCTTTTATCCACTGATTTCTTGTGATGAGCACTTTTCTGTTGGGCATTTGCTCTTACCTGTTTGCAATAAAATAAATTTCGCGCTTCTGTCAAACCAAAGACTGCCCTTGCACCCCTTTCTCTGCAAGCTGGATTAATTCCCAGCAAGGGCAGGAAGTACTGCACTCATGTCTTCAATGGTCTTGCCAAGCTGTTTGGAGACAGAAATTTGCCTTACTGTGAAGATTAGCCTTTTTCCTCTAGTTAGCAGTGCAAGTTTGCCTGTGGCTGATTAAGCTACCCCTTCTCATAACTCAGGTTTTATGGCATGAGGGTGCAAGGCATGCTTCTGATTGAACAAGTTCAGTCAGCAACAAGAAGCCAAGGGCTGGGGATGGAGCCACTCATCCCATCACTGACACCTTGCTATAAATTCAGGCTGTTTTTTTGAAATAGGAAATGCTCATGTGTACTCCTTACCAGAATCTGTTTGAGACCTATGTTGTGAAATTCCTCAGTGTCACAATAAACTTCTGTTCCCTCCTCACTAGGAGCTGCTGTTTGAACATGAAGAAAGTAGTTGTGGCCTCTTCTCAACCATAAACATTTCTTATTCTTCCATGTGTTTGGCAAAACTTAGTATATGGTCTGGTCTGCACAACAAGGTGACTGCATATGCATTCATTTTGTCTTCAGTGAACATTTTTGTAATCTTGGAGAATACAAAGTAGGATGCAGTGGTTACTGGCCAGGTGTGTTACCCTGAGAACTAGCTAATTTAATGATCCCAAAGTCACCTTTCACTCTGAGCCAGTGCTATGACAAACTCTTACTACATCTCAGGGCTAAGAGCTGAAACAGCGAGGCTATGTTTCAAACAGGGTGGGAAGGTGGATTGTATATAAGGAAGAAGCAGCATTGCATCTGCCACCTGAGCAGACACTAGCACACAGACAGAAGGAGTACTTGAGGGTTGGGTTTTGTCTGAAGGGAGGATAAACTAGAAGAGTACCATGCAGAGGAAGTTTCTTTTCTGCATTCTTTGCCTCAGACTCTGGTACTACAAATGCTAGGGGGGAGCACCTGCTGCCCAGTACCAAAGTTGAATTAAATCTGAATCCTCAGGGCCTTTCTTTTATCAGTGGCAGAATTCATTAACTGAAGCAAAACTGCTGCTCTCTGTCAGGGGCCTGATCCTTCAGTCATGAGAGAAACAAAACCTTTGTTTATGTTTGCAAGAAATTGCAGAATTGAGCGCCTGCTGTTTACATCTGAACTACACAGGTGGGTGGGGGGATTTAGAGAAGCCAGTCAAGTCCTCACACTTACCCTAGTGCAGTGAGATTATTTATTAGCTAAACTAAGGACTAAACAGCCTTTTAAGAGAAGAGCTCTACTTGCAGCCCTGATTTTTCTCTCTTCCTTTCTAGTGTCTTTTAGTCAGCCACTAACAGAAACTGCTAGTGGAGTTCCTGCAGTGGAACTCCAACAGGAGTGACTGCAAAAGCACAAATAATGGCTTTCAGTTCAAAACTTATGTTTCATTCTTTCTGATGTTAATTCCTGATACTGGTCAACCATATGTGTAAATCTTGGTCATGGGCAGTGCTTACTTAATTTTGTGAGTGGCAAATGTCTAATGCAAGAAGCTTGTGTTTGGAACCTAAGAAAGAATATCCTGAATTGTCTATTTTAGTAATTAAAGCATTTTTAACAATATTCAAGGTGTTGTGGTGCAGTTTTCTTTCCTAGACATTATTGTTGTCTTGCATCTTTTTCATGGAGCCCTTAGGACTAGCCCATTCCACAAGAACCACCATTATTAAATAGAGCGAGAGAAAGGCAGAGAAAAGGGTGAAAGAGAGACAGAGCTTTAAAATGTATCTGCCACCATGTGTTGTCTCCCTCTGCTGAACACTACCCCTACTTTCTGAGCTGAGGAGGTGCCAAGAACCCAGGAGAGATGTTACAGCTCTAGAAATCACATCAGAGAAAACTGAAAATAACTAAGCAGCAAAAGTTGTAGCTGGCAAAGTTAAGCACTGTGTTTGCAAAGACAGACAGCTGTTTCCACCTCAGTCTTCAGTTCAAGAGGCCCAAATTAAACGTACATTGTACATTTAGTTCTGTGGCTGAAGACATCATGGTACTATGAGAAGAAACCCTAAATCCTCTTGAGGAGAGCAGATGAGACAGAGTTTTTGCATAAACCAGTGGATGATGTAATACACAGCTCAATCCCTCAGTTTTATTGTTAAATTATAAAATAACACAATTCAGTGATTCAAGTCAGTCACAGTCCTTTTAAGGGCAATGCATTCACGGGCAAGCTGCTGTTCCAGACTGCCAACAGATCACTTGCTGGCAAAAGCCATGATCTGCTCCTAAGAGAGAAGAAAAAGAGAAGTAATTAATAAACATAATAAGCATGTGTCCTAAGAAGCAGCTCTAGGTGCCTTCCCTTCTACATAAATGGACAACATTTCTTGGCCAGTCTTTCTAGCCAAGTGCAGAGCACCTATCCCTGTGTGCTAGAAAATTAGAGATTTCCTTTCGTTCCCAAGTAGCACACTACAGGTGTTACCAACAGGTTCTGTGATCAGAGAAAAGGTCTTCATTTGTTTTTTTTTGCTTTAAACAGAGAAAGAGAAAAAAATAAGACACCATGCCAGTGGCAGCTACTCTGCCTTAGGAATGTACTGCTTTTCAACTTGGGTAGTGTCTCAACTGTGACACAAAGGAAACAGGGCACCTGTATTTATCAGGAAGATGATTTGTGGAATAAAAATTAAAATCCAGAAATGAGGACTCTAATGTGCTGGTGCTTGGGAGCTTTGCAAGCAGAGGGCTTAAGGAACTTCACAAAAATCCAGCACCAAGGTCAAGATGGTGAGGAATTTAGGCAGATACACTGCAAACAGAGGGTCTGTGTTTAAGACAGAACCTTCTCACCACTGCCTTCCTCAAGTAATTTCCATCATAGAGATTTGCACTTCTGCTATGAGGGAACAATTTCACAAGGCAAAACAACACAGAAACAGGTAAGTCTGAGCTGCACACCGCATCAGTGATGTCTTATTCTTAGTGAAAATGTGTCTTCAGAGGGCTGTTTTTTTCTGTGCATTGGTGGAATGCAGGTTCAACATTTCTATTGCATAGCAAAATAAAGCCAAAGACTTCCAATGACCTCTAACCTCCAAATACTGATACAGAATATAGACACTTATATAATTTGTGCTGCAAGAAAACAGTCGCTACTGAGCCATCAGTTATTTAGGAACTCCTTGACTCATTCAGGACACAAAACCTCGGGTTTAAACAAGTAGTATTTTTCCAACGAAAAATGTTTCATTTAAAACAAGCAAACAAAAAGCTTTACAGCTTGTGCATATTTCACAAATAGTTTTGGACAATCCCTACAGCCCTCACTAAAGTGAGATCCTTACTTTGACAGGAGGCAGGGCATTCGTTGCTTGCAATCCCCATGTCCTCAGCAACACCAGGGGAGCCAGCCTCGTGGAGTAGAGTCTCTTTAGCAAATCAGTAGCAGCTATCAAGGAGACATTGTGCCTCTGACGTTCTGTTTCAAACTTCAGGAGATGTTTTAAGGAGCCTGGAAGAGATAAATGAATGCTTCTATTAAACCTGATGTGCCACAAACAATTGTGCATCTTATCTATATAGCAATCTCCCCTGGCAACAGAAGGAGAAGAGAGAATTAATCCATCAATAAAGACCTCCTTCTGCCAGCTAGTGCTTTTCATCTCACCATCTCTTTAATTACCATGCGGCAGAACTTTACTTTTTTTAAAGAAGCTTTGAAATTTGTGGGATGGAAACTGCATCCAAGAATCTTAAACTGCTCCACAACCAATGGACATCAGAACAGTTTTGCTGCAACAAAGCTTGTGCCTTCCAAATGCAAGACAGCATCATCCTGCAACAGAGGTAATGCTTGTCTTGCTGTCAGCAGCAAAGGCTTGTACGACAAATCTTCTTACTGACACTGCACTGTCTTGGATCCTTACCCAGATCACTCCCATTGAAGGCTGCTGCACTGAGGTGATGAGCTAAACATGCAATATCACCAAAGCCGAGGTTTACACCTTGTCCTGCAAGTGGGTGGACTCTGTGTGCTGCATCCCTGGAGCAAGAGAAGACAGAAATTTATTTCCCTCCTTGAAGAAAGCCACAATGGCTGACAAACCCCAGAAGGGATCAGTGTAGCACACCTCACCTCTGCAATGAACACCACCTTACAGTGCACTTTTTCCAGTACCTCCTTTCACGCTATGCTGAACTACCTGACTGCCTCTCCAGTTGTAAGAAGCAAGACAAAGGGGAGATAACAAAAAGCAGTTCTGAAAGGAAAAATTAAAAAGAAGTGACTAGCCAAAGTCCTCTCTCAGATCGAGCGTGGAACAGGCCTTAATGTTTTTGTAAGTGACCTCAGCACAACAGGTGGTCTATCAATGGCACATCGCACAAAGTGGACAGATATGAATATAACAGAGAAGGGGGATATCACTGAATGGAAACAAAATCAGGTTCTTTTATGAGCAGACTTATCTCTAAAGGACAAAGCCAGACATATTGATAAGGGAGTCATAAAGTTAGAGAAATTAAGTGAAGTGTGGGTATGAAATGCAAGGTCATGTACTTTACCAAGCTGTAAAGCACAGAGCGGTCCCAAGCACAGAGTGGCTCACAAGTTGGAAAGATGAAAAGTATCTGAAGTGTAGTACAGCATCCAAGCATTACTAAAAGCTACCACCATATTGCAGCTGTGGCAGAGAAAAAAGTACGTGCAACCTTAGAATGTAAAAAATTAGATATTTTCCTATTTCAATAGGCCACCATACAAAAGCGTATGACATCCCACATGGAATAATTTGTATGAAAGGTGAGTTTAAAACTCAAACTGGTGCACAGAATGGCTGCAACAATGTTTGGGGAAGTACAGGTCCAGCATGAGATACTGGATTGTTTCATCAGACTATACAAACCAGAAACAGGAAATAATTATCTTGCAATTTACATACATAATGGACAGAGAGCTACTCATGCAAAAGGACACAAGGGCACACAGTACAAACTGGGCCTGGATAAAGTCAAACTGAAATGATATATTATTTCTAACCATCTGATTTATTGACTAGGAGTCGCTATCCTTGCATCATTTCTAACCACACACCACCCACTCACCCAAGGGCCACCACTGGGCATCTTACCCAATGAGAGCCACGCGGTGCTGGACATACTCTGTCGCATGCCCCATTCCAAGAGGGAACATGGCTCGGCTCTCTGGATCTACTTTAGCAACACTTGGGGGCAGCTGACGGACTGCAGTCCCTGAGGGCTTCAGGAGTGAAATAGCAGATCGAAACATGGCCCCAGCAGTGTCAATGAAGTCAGAGTGGTTTATGTTGCTCCACTGAAAACGACAAACAAATCTTTAGATGTTGACCCAAACCATACCTATAAAAGAATCCAGTTGGAAAAAAAAATCTGAATCAGTTCCAGATACTGAATTTTAACCACTTGCACAAAACTATACAGTAGAAAAACTTATCTTCATTGTTTTAGGACATACAAATTTTCAACTAGGATGATCCTACCCTTCCCACCTTTTGGAAATTTAGGTCAACTTCTGTGACTTTCAGAACTAACCTAATTTAGTCCCGAGGGGTCATCTGTTCTTTGCTAAGTGCCTTTTTAATATCATCCTCACCAAAGTAAGGAACTTTAGAATCCACCTCTCCCATTACCATCACTTCAAGTCACAGGGTTCCATTCTATTTCTTAAAGCCTCATACCTGCCATGAGGCTGATACTTACAAAGGCAGAGTTGATGCTATCCACAAAACTTTCCTCATCCATAGCGAGAAGTTCCGATGCATGTTCATGAGATGTAGACCAGACCAGAGAGCTGGCAGTATCAGACAGCTCATTTAAGAGAATGTCAAGGGGAAATATCAAGAGAAAAAGAAGCAAAAATAAATATTCAGCACAAAGATTTCCCCACTGCCCTACCCCACACCAGTCTCTCTGCAAATTACTCTTCCAGCCCAACTTGCTACAAGTGGGAAATACCAAGGATAAAGTGAGTGGGGCAGGAGGGGAAAACATGCAATAAATGAAGAGTGCACGAATTCTTAAGAGACAGAACTAACAGAGAAAGGCATAGACAGAAATAAAGTTACTAGAAAGAACAGATTACAAAACTTTTAAAAATATTTGAAAAAATTAGAGACCACGAGTCACCTTACCGGAAGAAGTGCAATTGGCCCAGTGGGAAGGAACCTCTGCCATGCTACATTATTGTCTGTGGCCTACAGTGGAAAGAAGCAAGTGGGCAGTTATGAATTAGTGACCTGGAGCACCCTGATCAAGCTGTTCTGCTGCCTATGGAAGAGTCAGTTAGCAGAGTTTTACCTCAGATAAATGGAGTGTTGCCACCACAGCTGACTGGTCATACTGATGCTCAATGTTCTTAATTTCAGCTTCCTTCCGGACTACAGAGTTATGACCATCTGCACCAATCTGCAAAACAAAGAGATACAAAGCAACTTCTTTAGCTCCTATAAAGCCAGTATTTCACTACAAACCTCAGCCTGCATGTACCCACTTCCTGTTCACTCACAAAAAAAAAAAAACAAAACCCTGCCCAAAACCCAGAAAAGGTAGCCCCTTCTGCTCCTGTCCAGTTCAGTAGCCTCCTTGCACCGGTACAGAAAAGGCTATGCGCTGTGTCCCATAGCATCTCTGACAGAGTTAGCCACTCACCTCACTCAAGCACTCCATGTGAGTGGAGCGGCACACATGGAATCAGAACCAAATCCAGTGGAAAGGACTTGGGTTAGAGATGCTGCCTGATCAACAGAAATAAAGAGCTTAGTTACCAGCAGCTTGGTCTGAAGTCTGCGTCCATCAGCTAACTGAATTTGGACCCAAGGGCTTGTGTCACAGCTGTGGGAGGGAAGGGGCCACGTATACCCGACTGCTCTGCTCCTGTAGAAAACCTCCACCCGGTCTGATGGGAACACAAAGTGTCATGGTCACAGCATGACACAGACAGCAAAAAAGGAAACATTGCTACAACAGCAAAGGTCACACATATTTTAACAGCACCATAAAAGCTGACACTACAATTTTCAAGACACCCTGAAAGAACAGATCTGAACAACCCCTTGTCAGTGCAAGGCCTGCTTTGGACAAAGAGCTACAGATCTTTTAGTTAAGTCTATTTTTGGAGAGACTACATTCTGGAGAACTACATATGCAACTGCTCTTGCTGTGTAGCCTTCGGAAGACAGATTTCTCCCTTCCCCCCCAGTTCAAGAAGCTGCCCACGTCTCAAGAATCGCTTGTTAGACTAATTTCTCCCTCTCAAAACTTACTGCACACAACAGAAGGCAAGTAACTGTAAGCTCTATGCTGGAAATAAAATAATCAAGAAGTTGTCACTACCTGCTACTGCATCTAACTGTTTTGTGAGAGCAGACATAATGACATCATTCTCCACTATGTAACCCATGTCATCTAAGTCATCTTTCTCAAAAATGATCATGGCTTCAGAACAAGCATCCCACACCTACAAAGAAAAAAATACATTACATGAAGTTACAAAGAAGTGCTGTCCCTTTCAGAGACTTAACAGCAAAAGGACACGGTAATCGAAAAATACAGAACTAGAGGAAACATCCTGGATTACTGTCCATTCCTTCATTCCTAAATGAATGAAGCTACTAAAGTGCATCACGTAATTCCTGTCATTAAATGATTTGGCGTCAGCTCAAAAAGTAATTGCAAGTTTTTATCCCTACTTTCCTGTTACATAAGAAACATATAAAGCTACCCTACTGCCTTGCTGTGGGTTAACCCCAGCAGACAGCTCAGCCCCATGCAGCTGCTTGCTCCTTCCCCCAAATGGGATGGGGAAGACAACTGGAAGGGTAATAGTGCAAAAACAAAACTCATGGGTTCAGGGAGAGGCAGTTTAATAGGAAAAGCAAAAGTTGCATGTGCAAGCAAAGCAAAACGAGGAATTCATTCACCCCTTCCCATGGGTAGGCAGGTGTTCAGCCATCCCCAGGACAGCAGGGCCCCATCATGCATAACAGTTACTTGGGAAGACAAGTGCCATCACTCTGAACTTCCTTCCTCCTTCATTTTCCTCAGCTTTTATTGCTGGAGCATGGCCCTGTGTTCAGCTAGGTCAGCTGTCACAGCTGTGTCCCCTCCCACCTTCTTGTGCACCCCCAGCCTGCTCACTGGTGGGGCAGTGTGAGAAACAGAGACAGCACTGGCACTGTGTAAGCACTGCTCAGCAAAAGCTGAAACATCCCTGTGTTGTCGACAGTTTACATCACAAATCCAAAACACAGCCCCATACAAGCTACTATAAAGAAAACTAACTCTATCCCAGCCAAAACCAATACACGCCTTTACCTTTATTTTCCCACTAGTACCCATGCCTCAATATCTACACGTTCCATTGGGAATCCACCTTTCAGCCTGTAACACCAAGACCCTGAGACAAGTATTTCTGAGTAGATTGCATCCCACAAAAAAGGAACAGGAACGAACGTAAGCATGACCTGCCCTTTGCCAAAGAAAGAAAAACCTTTGTAACATTGATGTAAGTACTCTGGAGAATTCAGAGTAGACAAACACACGGTGTATTTGCAGCCCTAAGTCAGGCACCTGCATTCGCCGGAATGGTTTGAGTCTCAGGCTGCAGACATGATCCCAGGCACCAAAACCTGAAAAAGGACACAAATGGAGACACAAAACTGAAGCTCACTCCACACTCTCCTCTACCCTCCCTGACTATCAATGCTCGGGGTCAGCTTGCACTGTGCCTCGGCAGAGCCAGGTCTGCCTCAGTGCTATCACAGCTCCAGCATCACATGGTTTTACTGCTAACACAAGCCAACAGGAAGAAACAAGAGCTCTCCATGAACGTCTGACCTAGCAGACAACTCTCATTGTCCCATCACCGGGTAATAAAACAGACACAGAAAAGCAGCACCATCATTGTTTAGAATATTTCTTTTCCCATAAGGAATCAAGGCTGAAATCTCTCTTTAAAATGACAATTACACCTCATTAATTCAGGACTTAGTTACTAGACTACAAAGCACTAAGAACATGCTTCTTTTGTGAATACAACATTACAGCTGCTGTGGAGAGCACCTTACAACCTTTCACTACCCTAATGTCATAAATATTTATATAATGATAAATCACACCAAGATACCAGAACACAGATCCCTGTTATCAAGAGAAGTCTGATTCAATCACCATGGCTCAGCCTATAGAATATTAAGAGACAAAGGCAAATAATTCTATTGAGTTTAGGATGCAGGCAGCATGTGCTCAAAGGGCGTTTGTTTAAAGAAAATAAAACCAGCTCAAATATAAATGTGATAAATGCAAACAAGAAAGTCATACTTACTGCTTAGGAGGGTTGCTGATCCTGGGGAGATGGAACTGACCCTGTTACTGTAACTATCTGGCATGTGATCATATTCTTTCCTAGGACCAGCCTCCAGCAAGGCAATCTTCTTATCATGAAAGTGAATATCATGGCCTAAAATAAGCAAATACATGCTTTGTTGCAATAGTCCTGCCAAAAATCTCATTTTTCTCTCTCAGTAACACCTATGTACTTTTTTAATAAGACAGAGTAGATGCAAACATTTATAACACAGGTTTTGACCAGGCAAGTAAACTTGTATTTTAAAGCTTTATGACTATAATTTCATTACTGAGATGGACAACCCTTCTGCAGTTAAAGCAAGGATTACACGTTTTTCCTTTTATTTAAAGTTTACATTTTTGTACAAATTTGTGCCATTTTGTTATGAAAATTCATTATTGGAGCAGTAACAAGTGAAACCTGCAATGTTTACTGCATGCACCAAACACATCTTTCAGAGCTTAAACATAAATTCACCTTTTAGAACAAGAGATCTTAGAACTTCTTTGATCCGTAGCAATTACACTAATGTTTTCTTACATTAATGTCCTTATATTCTGACAATGGAATAGCACAGGCAGTTCAGAGTTTAACTTTCAGTTAAAGAGAACTAAATAAAAATGAAGAGATGCCTCAAGTAAAGAGTAAATCACTGCAGCTGAGCTGGCCACTGGCTGCATCCGACTGCTATGGACGCAGAAGGTACTGAGGACAGAAATGGTATCCTTGCAACATCCAGAGTTTGCTACTACAGCAGCCCTAAAGACAGCATATCCTGGACATATTTTCTAGATTATGCATAACAATAACCTCCTCTCTTGAAAGGTCCAAAACTTGTGTGTCAGCCTTAGATATCACTGCTGGAGGGGATCCTTATGCTGTCTCAGTTCCACTGTGGTCTTATTTAATAATACAAGCAGAACAATCAGTAAACCTTATATTTGCAAAACACTTATTGCTCAGGATCTTTGGCTCTTCTTTGCACTATTTTCTTTAGGCTTCTCTCACTGTTGCACCCTTCTGAATCCATGTTGCAAATAAAGATGCTGTCAGTAATCTCAGGATCTCTAGTGATACAAACCAAGCATAAATCCAGCTTATCTTGGTATTGTAGTGTTTAAAATACAGGGTTAGAGAATGAAATGTGGGATCAGAAAATGATGGTTAGAGAGATGGAGCAGCTCTCCTAACAGGACAAGCTGAGAGAATCGGGTTTGTTCAGCCTGGAAAAGAGTCAGCTTAGGGATGACCTAACTGGGGTCTTCCAGTACCTAAAAGGAGCCTGCAGGAAAGATGGACAGAGACGTTTTTACAAGGGTACGTACTGACAGGACAAGGGGGAATGGCTTCAAACTGAAAGAGAGTAAGTTTAGATTACATAACAGGAGTAAGTTCTTTGACGTGAGAGTGGTGAGGCACTGCAACAGGTTGCCCAGAGAATCTGTGGCTGCCCCATCCCTGGAAGTGTTCAAGGCCAGACTGGATGGGACCTTGAGCAACTCGATCTAGTGGAAGGTGTCCCTGCCCACGTCAGGGGAGCTGGAACTAGATAATCTTTAAGGTTCCTTCCAACCCTAACCATCCTGATCAGAAAACGTTTTCAGCTACGGCTGAAATGATCCATCAGCTATTTAAGGGTGACCACGTTTGACAGAAACACCACAAGCAGTTTGCAGAATTCAAAGCAATGGCTCCATTAGTAGAAGTGCACATATACGGATGGGGCAAGGCTCACCACAGATCAGCTCACCAGACAGCTTTAAGTCAACTTTAGAGCGCAGGAACAAGCAGATCCCACAGCAGGATCCTGAACATTAAGATCCTAAATGGCAACCACAGTTATCTCACACTGCGGGCGAGAAGGTCACAGCCTTACCCAGGGCGGCGGCCATGGCGCTCCCGACCATACCCCCGCCCGACACCACCACATCGTAGAGCGGCTGTGCGGGGCCGGCGGCGGCGGCGCGGAGCGGGGCGCGGGGCCCGGGACGGGGCCGCAGGCGCGCCCAGAGTGGGGACAGCGCCTGCCCGCGCGCGGCCGCCATCGCCGCGGAAGTGACGGCGGGCGGAAGTCGCGACGCGCAACCATGGCAACGCCTGCACGCGCCGCCGGCCTTGTGTCTACCTGGCTGCTCGAGGCCGAGAGGGCGGGCCTAAGCGCCACTGGCCGCGCTGATTGGCGGAGGCCGGGAGGGGGTCGCGGAGGGCTGAGGCGGCGGCGCGGGCTGCAGGTGAGGGCAGGGGCAGGTTGGAGTCGCACCCCCAGAACGAGCACTTCTCGATTTATTTCATTTCTTCCAGGCGACACGACACCCCCCCCCTCCCCCAGGCTGTAAGACGCCGACTCCTCCGATTCCCACCGTCAGGCGAGGAGCTGGGAGCAGCCTCTCAGGATGGGAGGCCGGCGGTCTCCGTTAGAACCGGGAACACCGTGCCAGGCAGAGTTATGGGGTGACCTCGGGGTGCTCGAAGAGGATGAGGAGCTGGAGGGTTTCAGGCGGGAGGTGGAAGTTCTACGTGAGAAGCTGAGGGAGGCTCTCAGGTAGGATGGTGCCTGGTAAGGATGGCAGGATGGCATGCGGGATTCCTGCTGCTTCTGGCCAGGGACAAGGCAGCGCATGACGTCCTAAAATCCACGTGTGTAGTGCCAAAACACTGTCCACGAGTGTATTCACAGATGGGAGGATGGGGTCAACACGTGCCTACGTAAGCAGCATTCACATAAAACAGCACAAATCCCCTTCCTGCTCATCAGCTAATCATGCTTAAAATCTGCCAGTAGATCAACCACCTTTCTGCCCAGCATCCACTCCTCAGACCTGTGGTCTTTCCAACATCGAGCTCCCAGACGTCTTTCCCTGTGGTTAGTCTAGTTTGACATTCACTAGCAGATCACACATGCATGCTCTTACAAAGAAAATGGTTTATAAAGCAGGAGAGACTTCAGCAATCACAGGGCGAGTATATTAACAAGGAGCCTGTTTACGGGTGATCCGCACCTTCCGTTTCACCCCTTGTTTTCCTTTTCCTGTTCTTAGTCCACTCTGATTCACCTTGATCCTTCATTTTGCCTGCATTTATTACTTGCCTGAAATCTCGTAGGTTTTACTCACTTTCACAATTACCCTCAAACATCCTGTGAGAAGTTTGCTATTTTAATGAGACCTAGGATAGTCTCGGGTGAGTTTTTTTTCTTTTAGTCATCTTCTCAGTTACATAGTTTCCAACTGAACCTCTTAAGAGTTGCACTAAAGGAATTTCTTGTAATGACCTTCCCATCAGCGTCTCGGGAATGCTGTGTGCATCTGTGTGCACAAATTGTGTGGGCAAAAGTTGGAACTTTCTGGTTTACTTGTGGCCCTTCTGGCAGTACAGTGCTAGCAGCATAATAAATTGCATGACAAAGCTAAGCAGCAGCAACTGCCATTTTGTACATGGAAAACATATAACAGGCAAAGTTCTGCTCATGAACTTTGGTAGCAAAGCAAAATATGGAGCCTGAGAATGACAAACCCTAGGCCTGTCTTTTAACAATCACCTCAGCCTATGGTGTCTTTCTCTTAATCAACAGTGTCTCCCTTCTTTTAACTCTATTTTTTAATAATTTCAGTAATTTCCCCTTCATAATGTCTTTGCCTTAGTCATACATCTGGTAACAAAAGGCAGTCCAGTTCTTTGACCGACCTCACCTCGGACAGTACCTGGGATCGGCAAAAGCCTCACTTATTTCCTAAATCCCGCTTAAGGCCAAAAAGTGCTTCATCTCCCTGGATTCCTTCCATCACCATCCCTCAGCCTTTCAAAATGACACTGCGGGAAGCTCGCAAAAAGTCTGAGTTGATGAAGTCATACATGTTTCTTGAACTAGACAAACAGAGAGACAAAAGGCAAAGCCAGGATGAAGCCGAATGTCAGAAACAATTCCGGGCACAGCCTGTACCTGCCCATGTGTTTCTGCCCCTTTATCAGGAAATAATGGAGCAGAATGAGATTCGCAGGCAAACAGCAATGCAGAAAAGAAAGGAGCTGCTACTTTCAACACAGCGGCCCTTCAGTTTCCTGGAGAAGGAGGAGAAAAAGAAAGAAGCTATCAGACAAAAATTCCTGTCAGCAGCAACCCCAAATGAGAGCTCCAAACAGAAGCAAGACAGTAAAAAAGTTCCTAAATCTACTTACCACCCACTTCTTGGAAATAAACTCAAAGGTAACATGCCAGGGCTCTTTCTCTAAAGCACCTCCCTACCCATCCCTCGCTGTCTCCATGCTGGGAGGTAAGATCATGGCCCATAGGGTATTACTTGAAGCATAAGGCCAGTGTCATTGTATCCCCCGGTGTTGTCTGGTCTCCTATGTGTCACTGGTTATTACATTTTGTCTAGATACCCTTACAGCAGAGTGTCCTAAGTTTAGTAGTCTTGTAAGAGTGTCAGCAGCAACAGTTCTGTTCCACTCCCCAGCAAACATGGGCACACTGAGCTCTTCAGACAGATTTCCCTTTTGCTGCAAATCATGACAGTTTGGGAACCCTTCCCTGCACTGGATTCCTTCCCTTTGGTCACACTAAAGGGGCTGAGATGATTTGTGGCACAAACATGAAGACAGCTGTAGTGCCATAAGTGTCCAAGGTCCATGCGGTATCTTGTATCTGACCATTACTTGTATCTGACCATTACTCGCGCCCAAGTGCGAGAAATGAATATTTCATATCTCAGTCAATTAAAACCTATAAATAGACTTTAAAATGTCTTATTTTGAAAACAGCAATATTGATTTTTTTTTCTAAAAGCAAAAAACCAACCCCCAGACAACTGTTTGTCTGCATTTTCACAAATATTTAGTGTTGCACAAGAAATTACTTCAGTTTGATGCTATACTCTGAAACACATTCTTTCTATGGAAAATTTGTCACAGAAGTCACAAGACATGGTTTATCCATCAAATATTTCTCACTCAAAATCTTTCCCAATATAGACAATTTCTGGTGGATATTATATAGATAAGCCATCATCCATTACAAGTATATTTGAACAGCCCATATGGATCACACCATCAACATAATGACATAAAGTCCCATATGAAAAGCAGAACCTTGATTAACACTTCTGCAAGACAAAGGGGTGCAAGTTATCTGGTACCCCGGAGAATAGGAGGAGAAGACCTGTTCAATAACTCGCTTCAATAATTGAAAGACACATCTAGAAATTAATGCATAAGAAAGAGACCCTACCATGTTTTTTTCTGGTATCTTTAAATTATTTTTCACAGAAGAGAGGGGCTGAAAAGTAGGGAAAGAGAGCACAGCATATCTGGTCTCCCCTATATAGGTGAGCTGCCATCGTAAAGGAGAGTTTAGACTTGTGCAGTGGCAATTTCACAGCTTTTTATGTCATTCATTCTCTTTTCCTTGCTTTCCTTTTGATTCATTAGAAGCTGAACTCTACAGAGAAATCCGCATTCAAATGAGAGCAAAGGATTTGCTTGAGAGCTCAGTGGCTCCAATAGACACCAGCAACTGTCGGAGGGAGCCTCAGTCCCGAACTGCCACCAAAACCAAGCAGGAAAGGCTTGGCTTCTTGCAGGACAAAAGTTTCAGCTTCAAGCCAAGGATTAATCCAACAATACCGGATTTTGAAGAACTTTACTGGGCATTTCAGAAGGAAGCAGTAAGGAGACAAGAAATCAAAGAGCCAACTCGTAATAAGCCATTCAAGCTAAGAACCTCCAATCTCCGTGCCAGGCAGAGGCAGGCTAATGAAAAGATAAAGGTGAGATACCTAGATATTTCTGTGGTACTGCTTTCTCTGATCAAGATATCAATTTCTTCAATTTATAGCATTTAACTATGGATGGTTAACATCCCATGACCTCTGCCCTTGTATTGAGAGTACTGCAGAATCCTAGGACAAACCACAAAACAACATTCTACACAAGGAGATGAGCTATGGTAGATAAGGCCGAGCCACCCTTTCATAGCCCTAATCGTGTTTCCCTCATCCGTCAGCCCCTCCACCCTGCTGGAGGAAGAGAGAAGAATGAATGCATTGCCCACATATTTCAGCTGTTCTCTTTGGTAGGCAAAGAACAGAGGAGATGCTGTACTGTGAACTGAATGAAGTTCCATTTTTTTCAGGATTCTGAGAAGCTTTCCAAGGTTTCAGTGGAAAGAAGTCATTCTCTGACCAGACTTTCTTCTCTCTCTTCCAACACCCTTCCAGTGCATATTACCGATGCAACTAGAAGAAGGGAATCTGCTATTAGGTAAGTAGGAAAGTTTGTCTACAAGACCATACACTAACTAATGACCAAAATGGAAGAAAAACATCAGTGTTTTCCCTCATCACATCAACTACACGTTTTCTAAATGTTTCTCTGTCTTCTTTCTTTGCTGAGTGTTGCTCTACCTCCCAGCTGATTTGGGAGCTGTGTACTCATATGGCTGATATTTTGCTTTTCTCACTGGAGGACTGCAAAAGTGAAATTCCCAGGTAGCATGTGGTCTGGCAGTCCACAGTGAGCTCATTAGTAACTTCTTTTTCTATATAGACACTCCCAAGTTAACAAAAAGGAAGCGGATAAAGAAGGAATTAATTGGCTGGAGAAACAGAAAACGAAATGTCAAGCTATGCAGAAGTCAGTGAACAGCCGAGCAAAAGCACTGGATCCTCATAAAAGTCTGGAGGAAACACAAAAGGAGAAGTCGAAACAGAACCGGTCAGTATCCTATTCTGCACAGAAATGACTGTTTGCTCCACCAACTAGGAATCATCAGATAATTCTTTAGGAGGAATTGGGTCTAAGAACATTCCTAGCCTATCTTTTTTTTGCTTTTATACCCCTTCATTTGGATTTCTTGACAATGCCACACTATTCCTTCCATACAGAACAGTTTCCTTTAGATTAACATTTGTAGAAACTAATTTTACAAACCAGTCAACTGTAATGTGTAACTTGGTAAAGCACACTTGAAACAAGGTTTTCTAGAAATGTGAACACTGGTTCCTTGCTTTATATTCTCATAGAAGAGCTTTGCTAATGGGTCCACAACTTGCCAGCAATAGGATTTTTTTTTGCCCAGCATTCAGAATCAAGAGAATTACCAAAGCAATTTAAAAAGTGAAAGTTACTGAGGATTCCTCATTCCTGATCAGCTACAGTCAGAGGGAACCTATATTGCACAGGCAATTTTTCCATTTCAGGCAAAATATGAGAGAGAGAACAAAAGAATACAGAAAGGAGCTGGAAGAAATGCAGCTGCGAGTCAAGAGCAGACCATACCTCTTCGAACAGGTCACCAAGGTAACTGGTCAAAGTCCCAGAGTGTTTCTGGGCAACAGGATACATTGTCTTCCATTTAAGACAGGCATTAAGAAGTCTAGTCTCAAGTTAATTCATGGATAAGAAGGTGCGAATGGTTGCATAGTCTCTTGACTGCACTGAAAATAATACATGGAAGAGCCAGCCAGGTAAAATTTAAATTCCTTCCCACCACTTGAAAAAAACACTGACTTAATTCTAGGAGCTTGCCAGCTCCTAGTATATATTATAATCACAGTATATGGTGTGGTCAAAATCAAGCCTTTATCACACCAGAAATTATATGAATACCTATTCTGCACCTGAATGCCATAGACTACAGTCTAGAAATGCAAAACTTTTTTCTTAAAACCCTCTCCAGTTAAGCACTTTTTTTTTGTACCTCTACTGCTACTAGAACATTAATGACGGTTACATTGCATTTATCACCTGCGGACTCTGCAATCTGGGACTGCATTCAGCACATCTCATCCATCACCAGCTGCAAATCTGTATTGCACCTGAGGTGTAGATACAATCTGTACTCTCTAATGTACTCCTTGTATGTTTTTCCCTGGGTATTCTCTTCCAGTTCCACATCCTTGCAGGGATGAGAGCTGGTTAAAGTACATGCCAATGTACAAAATACATTGACAATATGCTGATTTAAGATTTCTCAACGGAAAGTATCCTCCTGGGTCAGGCTTTCTGTTCTGATCATGGAAGCAGAGAACAGACATATATGATTGATATGGTTTGAAGCTGGCTCCCTGCCAAGTCTCCAAACCTTACCACCGGAAGTCCCCCCCCAAAAACCTCAGGGAGAAGAGGGAGAAAAAACTAAGAAAAACCCGAAACGAGAGAGAGACAACCAAAGTGAGATATATAAATATATTTACACTTATATACAATTAAAATATACAATTTCACAAGGGAAAAGGGAAGGGGGAAGGGAAAGGGAACAAAAACTAAAATAAAATATATATATCTCCCAATTAGTGACCCAATATCTAACAACTAAAAGAGTTAGCAAAGAAAATAGCTCACTACTCTCCTGGGACAACCGAGAGTCAATCCGGAACGATCGCCGGCAACCTCCGTCTCCCAAGGTCGGCAAGGCCTAACCGGGCCTCGCTCCCCAACACGGCAGACTCAACAGCAGGGAACCTGCACCTCCAAGCCGCCGGAAGGAAAGAGAGCGAAGGCCTTTCCTTCTTTCTTCTTATAATCTGGCTTACGTAAAAATCGTAGGGAATACTGGGTAAATCTGGACCCTTCCTTGGTTACAAACTGGTCACCAAGGAAGGCCTAGCCCAAACCACCACAATGATAAACATTGGTAACATTACTGTGTGCCAGGTTGGTAAGAATTCACCGATATCAATTGCATTCACTCAGATTTCTATCCTTCCACATAGAACACCTTAATCTTTAGAACTGGCCGGTCTCTCTGGAAAACCATCATCTCAGACTACACTGATTTGCAAGGTTCGTTTGCAGGCAGTGAGGATATAGGATCCAAGATGCTTGGTTTTCAGTTGAGCTGATATGAAGCTATTTCACAGGTGATCTCCATTTATCAACTCCACTGTTTTTAGCTCTCACCAATTACAAGCAAACATTTCTAGGATTTCCCACAACTCTTCTTTGCACGTATTTTCAATTTCAGTGTCAGTTAGGACTCAGACACAAGTATGCTAGTCTGGTAAGACTGGAATGCAGTATAAGGAGAATAGAAGAAGGAAGAAAAAAAGATCAGAAGCAGGAAAAGGTGAGCTCTGGCTTTGAGAGACATGAGACATTGTCCTAATATTCAGTTATGGTACTGTACTGTATGGATTACAAAAATTTTGCACAGGAGCTTCTGCTGTCCTCTTGTCCCCTTTAGGAGGGTCAGCTGTGTACTTTAGAACAAGTTGACTGTTATGGGAAGCCCCAGTTCTACTGCTTACTGTTCTAAGTTTCGATTTCATAGCACGATGCTCGTCAAGGAGCAGAACGTCGCTACAGAAACACTCTCCAGCAGGTTGGCCTGAGCGAAGAATTTGTAAGAAGAAAAGGGAAAGATGCCACTGACTTGCTGGAAGAAGAATCTGATGTACACAGGTAATAAAAACAATACAGTACAGCTCTTTTGTCTTTGACTTAAAGTATTTTCCTTGTTCATGAAAGCATTCCAGTTTCTATTATCTAGTGTAGGAAAAATCAACTTCACTGCTCTTATTAAGCATCGTGGCTTCTCTGTCTGAATTCCTATGACTGCACTCTATTTCCTAAGCACGGGGCAAACCATTTCCAGTATTAGACAGTCACTATTTCTGCAGAGTGCCCAAGCCTCCGGGTGAAAAGGACGACTGTACTGTACAGGAAGGAGTACCTCAGGAGGAACAGAGCAGAAAGGAACCAGCAGCATAAGAGCTAGCAGAAGAATCCATTGATCATCTCTTGATTTTTTAAATCCAGGATTCTCCAGGTTAATCCTCAGGAACTTAATGGTTTAAGCTGACACCTAAGAATGGCTCTGGGGTAAGTGAGATGGGAGAATTTAGTAAAGAAAAAAAAGACCAACTTGTTTTGAGCATGTCTTGTCCAACCCAGCAAAGCCTGCAGCCTCCCTTAGTCTTCACAAGTGTTCCTTGTGTGAGCCATTTCCCTTTCTTTAATGGGCAACAAGTTAAAAAGGTTGAAGCACTATCTTTGGATAAAAGTAGATATGAAAGATTGAAGAGGTGCATCCTCTATTGTCAGCTCCTTGCATTCATGCCACAGAAGCACACCGGAAGAGGAGAATGCCCTTTAGTGTGCTAAACCTTGGTTTAGACATATATGCGGTAGAATGCTTCCAAACAAGGTACTTCTACAAAAACAAATACCGGGATTTGACCTACCTTGGGAGAAGACTCAAAAGGAAGTCTTTCTCTGGAGTTAACTCTTCGTTCAGTCACTAGTCCCTAGTAAGAAGCAATAGTCTTCCTATACTAAAAAATCTCCCATATTTCATTATTTGAAAGTGTTTTAACATCTTACCAATTTAAGTCATTAATTTGGCCCAAAACCCAACCAGAATTATAAGAAGGTTGTAATTAAACAGGGTATCACTTTGAATTGCTGTTGTCCTAATTCTACTATTACTGTGATATTAAAAATGGTTTTTGGTAGAAGTAAGATTAGGTATTACCTGTCAGCATGTTGCACTCAAATGCCTGGCACATCTTGAATAGTATATTTCACACATTAGTGATCTTCCTTTACCTGACAGTAATAACCATTTCAGAAGTAAAAATCCGTGCCACCTGGAATGTTTCCTGAGAATTTTGCACTTTGAGATTAAAATATTTTCAAATGGCTATCATGTTCTTCAGTGTTCAGTTTCCTTGTCAATCATCTTTCCTCACTTTTTAAATAGAAGCTTTTTTTGTCATCTCAATCCTTTTCTCCTGTTACACTTGCAGTTGTAACAATGCAACTGCATCATCAAATCAGAAATACAGTACCTGTAAGAGCTACCACATTAGATAAAATATAAAACTGAGATAGTGACATTTTTAATCATAACAAAGTACTAAATCCAAGAATTTGTGGCCCAGGGGTTTCATGCTGCTACGTTACAGAGATCAATACGTAGCTAATGCACTGGACTGCAGCATTCCTCCTTCCTGACTCAGTCTCCGCACTGACAACAGGCTTGGAGGGTTTGAGGGTGGCTGTTACCAGTGTACCAGCTTCTCCACAGGTGTAATTGTGTAGGATATACAGAGGCTGTTCTTTCTCGGGGTACTCCCTGGAAAAGAGCAGTGATGTAACCATATTGTCACCATGCTTTGTCACATGGAAAGAGGAAGGAGAGATTACTTCCACGATCTAAGTCCTAGGCTTGTATGGATATATATGTGGAACAGTGGGACTGAAATTTGAAAACATACATTTTAAGGGCTATTTAGTAAAAGTGGTTGCTAATTTCCACAATAATAGTTAATGATGCTGGAAAAAGAAATTTCCAAGTATGTGAAGTGTAGAGGGAAATCTTAAGAAAGGAGAAACAAAAGCTTGACTTTAAATTAATATGATAATATGCCATATCCCTTTAAGAAATACTACGGTGACATGCATGAATATAATAACAGATAAATTCAAATCTTAAAATTGGTCCCTAAAGAGAAATTGCTGCAATGGTGGTGAAAGTAAAGGCATCAAACTAAGTAAGTAAAACTCACTAACATCTCTCTTGCTAAAAGAAGTTTTATTCTGAAAGGAGGATTACATTTCTGTAATCCTAAAAGAGATTTGTCATCTCTTAATATGTCTCAAAAATGGTAAGGAAGTAAAGAATTTCAACTATGGCTCTGAATTTTTGCATTTTATGAAAATATTTTGTTACCTTTACTTAGATTTACAGCCTGTTCAGCCTATAAAAATACTGTAGAGAAGAAGACATTGCACTGGAGCATCTCCCATCAGCTGGTGAGATGATAGCCAAACTGCATCAGACCTCAACTGACAGGTACCTGGTGGAGCTTCTGCAGGAACCTCCAGGTTACAAGATCTTTATTAGCAGCAGCACTACCTTCCCATTCAGCAAGGGACCAGTATAAATTCTAAGCATTCTCCTTGCATAGAAGCTATTATAGACACAGAGTAGCTTAGCAAAACTCTGCTTTTTCAGTAATGCCGGTTCTGAAGAAAGTTTTTAAGTTAACAAAAAATTCAAAACACCACATAGTAGGCTCATTTAAAGAGCTTGATATACCAAAAAGATTTTGGAGGAAAAAGTGACTGGGAAAAGCAGTAAAAGAACACAGCATGTGTAACCAAATGATATCAAGTAGTACATTTATTTCAGATAGTAAGTCAGCTTCTGACAGTGGGATGTATTACAATATAGTCTCTGAAGGTAAAGGATGGAAGGAAGGTCTGTTGCTCAAGATACTGAATGTTTGTACAGTGCCTAGCACAATGAGGTCCTGGTCCTTAACTGGGGCTCCTAGGTGCTCCAGCAAAACAAACACTTTAGGCTTTAGGAGATGGACTGCATGAGCACTTTTGAAATGGCATTCCACAACATGGGTTAAATGACACCTAAGCAGCAGACTTCACCTTTTAAGCTCTGCAAGAGTAACTTGGTCCAGCAGATCTTCTCCAGCTCCAGTTTTACGATTCATCCTCCATCTACCCACCCACTCCATCCATAGTTAAAACAACGTTCACTCATCCACTGCAGTTTGGTGAGCCTCTAGGAGGAATGATCCATCCCACTTCAGTCACCACATATAAGAGGGCGGAAAAAGGAGCAGCTGGTCTCACCCTCCTCCACTCCAATAATAGACTCAGTGTCTGGCAGGTGCAGAGACTCAACACCAAGGCTGGGCTGAGAGTTCATGGACATGATACTCTTACTATGCACTGTCGATTCTTCCAGCAAACTGCTACCCATCAGTGACTCTATTGTGAAAAAAAGGGTAAAACAAAATTCTCATGATGTAATGGTACTGCAACATAAGATACAATCCCTGCCCCCCTTCAAGTCAGAAAGACACCTATTTTACCCATTTACACCTATTCTTCCCTAGACACCTATTTTACCCATTCCTACTCTTTGAGCTCTAATGGATGGAAAATACTATGTTTATTTTTTTGAACCTTACTATGGCAGGATCTCATGCAGGATTGGCTTTCTCTTTAAATAATTCACTTTGCATAAAAACCCAGGCTGCTTAGAAGAATATATAACCAAAGGGAAAAAAATCCATGTAAAAAACCCCAACTAGATTCATGTTAATTTTGAAAAAAATAAACGTATCTGCTCCTTGACCACAATACAGAAATACACCTTTGTCTCCTGTCCTAGAAAAGTGGAGGGTGAGCAATCAATCCTCATCTCCAAGAAGAACAGACTTGTATTTCTTACTGGCCTGTGGTCTCATATTTTCAGGATAAACATCTTCCGTTCTCTTAGACCATCCCCTATTTTTTTTCCTGCACTTTCTCCCCTCAGTGAGTGTGCTCCCTTCCTTACCTGGCTGTTCTCGCTCCCTGCTGCCAGCTGCTCCAATTCGGGAGTGGTGTTTCCTCATATGCACATTTCTGCTACCACTCTGGGAAAACGTCTTCCCACAAATTTGGCACTGATGGGGCTTCACTCCTTGGAGTAGAAGGGGAAAAAAATATCCCATGAATTACCAAATTGGGAGTAAAGACTTCATCAACCAAGAAACTAACAGTACTGTTTTGAAATGGCAGTTAACACCACTGGTGCTAATTATCAGTAAAAAAACAAATGAGAAATATTCCTGTCTTCTGGAGAGCAATAAGCTTCTAGAACAGAAGAGTTTTAGGTATCAGTATTGCCAGCTGTTGGAAAACTCAAGTCTGAAGTAACAAAAAGCCTTCAAGTCTCATTTATGAAAGGGAACAAGTTATTTCAAATCACTTAGTGACATGGAAATATTTGCTGTCCTACACCTAGAATAAAATGACCAAGTGCAAGGAAGTAGAGGCAAGGAAGCTATCTCCTGCCATCACACAATGAATTGCAGCATCTGGTTTACATTACTGAGCAGAGACGTGATGATGACTTGTCACCATGACAGGATTTCCATTTTACACAGCAGTCAATCATTTTCACAATACACCCCATGTATTGTATGCTGTCCAAAGCTGTCAGCTCAATGGCATGGAAGCCAAGGAGAGAGGAAAGAAAAAGCATGGAAAACTCAATCCCAAAAGTTATTACCACAGTAATATTTCCCTTCCACAAACATACCATATTCATCATGTGCTGATGATATTTAAGATAGCTGAATTAAAACAGAAGGCAGAAGTTTTGAAACACTTGCAAAATACATTTCCATCTAAGTAAGTAGTAGGAAAAAAATAAAGGAAAACCCTACCTATGGCAGAAACCCACTCATGAGAGATTTCAGATTCAAATGGTTGTAATTAATATATAGAGTCTCTCTTTTAAATAAGAAAATGGCAGCTATGAAACAGATATTCAACTTCATGACATTTTAGGAACAATTTTTAAAATAATTTAAAAAACATAATTTTAATTTAGAACCAGAAACAAGCTAAAAGATTAAAGAGTATGGGCTACAGGCACCACAAAAGGTAAGTCATGAAACACTATGACCAGAAGTTCCATAAAAACCAGGGTTTTTCTTAAGAAAAATCAAATCAATGTCCTACAATAAAGATCTTTTCTCAGAGAGATCACAGAATGTCAGATGAAGACTCTTACCTGAGTGGACAACCAAATGTTTCCGAAGGCTGGAGTATTCAGCAAAGGAGCGACCACATCCCTGTGCCTCACACAGAAAGGGTTTTTCCCCTACAAGGGAAAAGTAAATTCTTAGATTTTGGGATTACAACTTAATCTCATTGCTGAAGTCCCTGAGAACATGGACATCTCCACTCCGTTATCCCTTTTGGCTTTATGTGTGTCAGAGTTCCATCGAAATTACATATATGCTTCCTAAGGCTTTTAAAGTATTCTCTTCACCAGCTTTCACTGGTATTATTTTAAAATATTCTTAGACCATAATTCACTGAAAGTGAAGCAAGGGACCACTGTTTCTAAGTAGATCTTCAAAGTATATAAATACCAATAGAGTAATATAAAAGTACCTGAACGATGATATATCTTCTATATGTAGTTCTCAACAACCAGCTCTCTGCTTCACACACTCCCAGGATCCTGTTCCCTTTCTGCCTCTCAGCGCCAAAAATCCCATAAACTGTATTTTCCTATCATATCCTATACTTTATTTCAGATCAGGCTAAACTTGCCAAAATCCTGTGTCAGTTGTTTATATTTACATGTGGAGGAACTGTAATTCAAGGCACAATTTGTTCTCATAGGCTGAAATTTGTTATTTTTATATCACAGCTATTTTTGATTTGTCTAAGTGATGGTAAATTTGAAGGTCACTACACTAGTGCAGCGCAATATAATTAATCTGTTTTAAACAGTCTCTTAATAAAGCCTTAAATAATGCTAGAGATAACTTTTGCCTGCAACATCCAACTACAGAACTCGATATACTATGTTTAACACTATGATTTCAAGTCTTTAACCGGACCCCTCTAAAGAGTAATAGCAAGACCACAGGAGATTAAGCAAGCTATTTAAACTATTTTATTGTCTAAAATATACATAGTTCTTTCAGAGTAAACTTGTTTTTAAAGGTGTTTCTACTGTGGTTTTGCCTTTAGAAGTCCTCTCCCTACGGCTCATGTATTAGTTTCTTATCTACAATAGCACTCGACAGCTCTGAGCAAAACACAGCGTGTTCCAATTGGTGTTACAAAGCTGAAATATGTAGCAGAGTCTCAAACACTGATTGTACTTTCTGGCTTGTTATAAATATTTAAAATTTGGAAAGAAGGAAAAAATACCATTGACTAAAGTAACAGCACACAGTTCCATCTATAAGAAACTCTTTATCTATTTACACCTGCAGTTTTATAACACATTTGGTATGATCAAACTCTTAATGGCACATTATCCATTTGCAGTTTAGAAAGTTATTATTTATTCCTCCAGAAGCTACTACTCTGTTGGTTGCAGAACACTGAGGGAGGATTGTGCATGTGTCAGCTGGGCCTATTAGCTTTATCCTGCACCTTGGCTGGGAGCTTTAAGTGCAAAAGAAAACTGCAAAAACTATGGCTGCTGTTACTACGCATTCAAAATTTTATTATTGGTATATATAATTTTTAACTACATCCCAACATCTGCCCCCAAACTATGTGTTCTGGCTAGACTACATAATCTTTAAAATAGCAACCTTTTTCCATGTGTGTCTACAAACTACAAACCATACGGCTATGTTTAAGTAAGGCAGAAGGCATAAACAGCTGCTGGCAGCCCACATAATCTGTGATTTCATTTTACTAGAGAAGCCTTGTGCTCTCAGAGTTGCCAAGGTTATTTTGAAATGTTAACCAACAGTAATCCAATGCTACCTTCCTAGGCCATCAGGCAATCTCTAACAATATTCCAAGAAGCTTGAACTGGGCCATTTGTTTGAGTGTCATGATAACCTTGAGGCTTCAAAAAACTAAACAAAATCACCAGAATATTTGCTATGAACTTTGCTAACTATTAAATTGCTGGTCATTTCAGCAGTAACTTGTGTGCCTCTCTCAAGCAACTTTCTAGGACAAAACCACTTAAAGTACTTCATGCTGTTCTCAAGACTTTGGCTGCTACACCAACTTCTAAAAATACTGGCAAGGCAGGATCAAATTCTGCAGAGGAGACAGCATAAACAAACCATGTATAAAATACAGCATATGAAATAAAGGGCCTCGTTTTATTTACTATA